CATTTCGGGTATTGCTCACAAATATCGATATCCATCCTCTTTGTTGTTGGAAATCATGACTGTAATGGAAGTGGTTTAGTGTGTAAAATATGCACAGATCTTTGCAATGTGTTCCAGTACAGTGGAGAACTTGCATTCATCTTTCCGTGTTTATTTAGTTGAAAGAGAATTACATCTGTTACAAGAAACAGTAATTTACGCACTGTTTATAGTATTCACTGAGTTATTTGTGATTGTTATTGCTAATGTTAAATATCTCGTCTAACTAGTATTCATAAACAAATAACAAATGGTTTATCTTATTCTTCAATTGAAATTTTCATGATGTTCAGCATATCTAAATTAGGCCCATTGGTTTATAGCCTATTGAAATGCCACTGTTAAAGGAATCTCTACCATATTTTGTTTCACATTACTTTAAGCCTTTCCATCAAAAGAATAGGTAAGGGTATAATTAGCAGGTAAAGAAAGGGCATAGATGTCTTTTGGTATACAATAGGAGCATGAAAAAATCTGCCAAAACAACCCTTTAATTTTTTTTGGGAGCATTTACAATGCTAGAAAGTTAAATATTGATTTTTTTTCCTTATCCTCTGCTCCCTCTATCTAATTTAAATAAAGGTATAAATTTAATCATAAATTATTTTGTAAAAAATTTTTGATAGTTTAAATATAAAAAATATAAAATAAATCATAAAGATAAATTTCGAAATGAGCAACATTACGTGAAAAAGTGGGGTGGCACCTATTGAGAAAAAAATGGTAGAAATCGGTTGAGATGATTGGGCATGTTACAAAGAAGTCAAGGGAGGCACCAGTGAGAAGAGTGGAACATATAACTTTGAGTCCGATTAAGAGAGGTAGAGGAAGGCCTAAAAAAAACAACTTTGGAAATTGTTGAACATGATCTCTTAGTAATAATATTTCTAAAAGCTTAATAAATGATAGAGCACAATGTACGTCTTGCATCCATGTAGTCGACCCCAACCTAATGGGATAAAGGCTTGTTGTTGTTGTATAAAATAAATCATAAACTATTAAAAATGGACGGCCGAACACCTCTCGTTAAATTTTCATTAACGTCCGTCTATCCAAATCTGTGGGACCCATACTCAAGTAATTCTCTCTCCCTTCCACGACGCCGGAACCTATATTGCCAGTCCGAATGCTCGGTTTCTTCTTTGGATTCCTACAAAACTATTTAGTCCCGCCTCTTTACAAATCTGACCTTCGATTTGGGTTTCGCTTCTCAGCTTAGACCTTCCTATAAGCATATTGATTCTCTTCTTGACCTTTCTAGATTTCTTCTTCTCCCTTTATTTTTTCACTCCAACTTCCCTGTTCATCTGCCTAAAGTGAGCAAATTCCCAATGATAGTTCCTTTGAAAAGATTGTTGCCGTTGGTGTGTTGGTTGAACTGCCCCAGCAGCAGAACTACAGGAAGACCATAAGCGTCAGAGAAAGTGTTGAAACCAAAGAGCTGCTAGTTCATAACGATCATGGTGGCTCCACCAGCATCCTTCACTGTTCCCTTTTGTAATTATGTAAATTAGTCCACCAAGCTCACACAAAGCAACCTTTACCTTAACATCCATATTATCCGAGGAACCTGGTGCACAGAAAGCGGTTGCTCGGTTTCCATTAGACGAGGGAAACTATTACAGCCTCGTCAGTGCCTCTCTTCCTTCTATTAGTGTCGCCGCTGCCTATACCATTCGCTGACCCAGGCTCCGATCTTGCATCATCTCCCCTTTCAACCGTCGTTATAGGTTTAACCTTTATTCTTCACTTCAAATCTTAGGTTCCTCTTCACAAAATCTCAACGCCCTCAAATGTGTTGCTTTCAATCGCCAGCTTCAAGATGGCATGAGAGAAAGATGGAGAAGGAGGCAGTAGAAGACAAAGAAGAGAAGAAGGCGTTAGGAGGTGACACATGGCATTCAGCTTTTTTTTTTCAGTCAAAAATATTGTTCAACTAATGGAGATTTGTTCCAAATTGACGGAAGGTTATGGTTGCTTCCTTTTTCATAGTTGATGATTTATAAATCACTTCATAATATAAGTTATTAGATGTTCCATGAAAACTAGTTGCACCTTTATCCTACAATTTTTATCCTACCAAACCAATTATTGAAAAAGCATTCATTTTCATTCTTGAGCCATACCAAATCCGGTTCTTTTTATTTCGTTCCGTTCTTTATTTTTGCTCCATTTCCGTAGCCATTTTCTGGAAACTAAACACGGTGTAAGTGTGTGCGTGTGTATTTATTATACATATGATCCATTAGTGTTTTGCGATCGTTAATGGTCAAATATCTCGCTTAACACACACAAACGAGTATGAGTCATATCATTCTTAATTTGAATATTACGAGTACATAACCAAACTCATCATTACAACCAAACATAAATCTTGAATGGCAGCAAACAATAAAACTTAAAAAATAAAATCTCTGTAGAATGAAAAATCAGAAATAAGTGACAGCAGAGACAAAGGACGCAATGAGAAGGAGTGAGAGCATTGAATGGAAGGAAACTTTCATGGAGCTTCCGTCCGATGAGCCACCGTCTACTGTGGGCACTGTCTTAGAGCCTGCACCTGCACTAGGAATGTCTGAGGCTGAAGGTGCGATGGACCCTTCAGGAGAACCAACTGGAGACCCTGCTGGAGCATTTGAAGGAGTGGTCGGTGCATTACCAGCTGCAGTCATAATTTCATAACATCAGAACAGCATCACAGCATTAACTGTATAGGTTATATATAGATTTAGCTTATTCTTGCCATAAAAAGATGAGACATTGTGATTGATCCAGTTGGTAAGGATCTAATCTATAACCTACAAGTCGTGGGTTCACTGATGTAACAAGTATCCTTTCTGAGCTCAAAATCAAGCCTTTAACTCTGGTAAGCACCAGAATTTAATCCACCTAAAAAAGGGAGATTGTTGTCATTACCTCCTTTACATTGGCTTACGGGTGGAGTTTGCACTTTGCAAGCTCCAGGGAGAGACAGAGCAAGGGTTTGATTAATGGTGATTCCCAGAGAGGAACCACCGCCATTAAGCACGGAGCAGAGGCACTGTGGTGAGGACTGAACCACACTGGAGAGCTGGGAGCAACATGTAGACGATGGGGTTGGTGAACTTCCCGTTATATAGTTAAGGCAAGGGCTCATGCTAGTGAGTGCACTGGTGCAGCTCGATTGTGCAGCGGTTTGAGTCCATTGAGTAGCCACCAGAGCCACAGCTAGAGTCAGCATCATCACTCTGAACGCCATTGTTAATCTTGGGAGGATTTCACAGGTGAAGATTTCTGAAGAATGGATGAGAATGGGCTTGCTTCAGATTCTGGATTCGAATACACTTGGTGTCTGAGTGATAATGGGAAGAGTTGAAGGACGGGTTATATAGGAAAATCAAAGAATGAACAAGTAGATATAGGTCGCCAACTTTTTCTAACTCATGGCCAATTGTTTACACGGAAAGGTTAAGCGGCTGACCTTCTCCTAATAAAATGCGCTTACCACAACCAACAGGCTGCTAATTTGTTTGATTTTTTTTATTATGTTTGACTCCTATCACTACTAATCTGGGGAGCAGATCCACCAAGTTTCGTGTACCGCTTTTCAGTCGGGGCTAGCTATCTTTATATGGAAATTTTAGTTAAAGTAGTTGAACTTCAGCGACATAATTATTTTTTTTCTTATATATATTATATAATTATGTTTTCAGTAAAAATAATTTTGAATGAGCAATTTAACAAGGTATTTTACATAATTACTTAAGTTTAAAGTATAGTAAGACTTTTTCTTCCACAAAAAGTCCTTTGAGTTTTAAAAATAAAAGAGGGATTTATGTGATTTTAACCTCATAAAATTTTTATAATAAAATTTATTTTCAAAAAAATATTTCCTGAAAATGATGAAAAATTTAATTTTATTATTAAATAAAAATATGACATAATATTAATGTATATACTTCCTTTATTGGAATTTAAATAAATTTGATACAGAATCTAGCTCTAAGATAATTAAGATATATTTAATTAAAATGACGGATGTTAGGAGATTTTAGTCTATTAATATATTTTTTAATTTTAGAAATATTTTATTCATAGACATGTTTTTTTATATTGATTCTTGACTATTTTATCTAAAAATTTGTGAAAAAATTAAAAAAATTATAAATATATGATTTAAGATTAAAATACAAAAAATAATAATTTATCTATTTAAATTTTTTGGAATCTAATTATTTTATTGTAATTCAAAGCGTTGAGGGAAAAAATCACACAACTAAATAATGTTTTTTTTTGACCAACTCAAGTATAATACTTTTCAAAAAATAATTGTTTTTTTGTATGACCCAACTCAATATTTTATTTTTGTTTGTGACCCAACCCAATAAACTAGGGAGAATTCAAAATGTTTGTGGCCCAACTGTATATATAGGTAGAATTGGAGCTACAGACCCAATGGAACGGTTAAAATTTGAGGGCACAACATTTCCTCCAATGAAGTTTTAAGAAAACCTTCAATTGCAGTGCCACAAAAAAAAAAAAAAAAAAAAAGAAGACCGCCCCATATCGTTCTCGAATCTCCAGCGAGTCTGCAGGTCACTGATTTTGATTTTGCACTCTACTACAGGGAACCGGTCGCTAGTCGTCGGCGTCACTACGGCTCCGGACTTTCCAAGCTTAGCCTCCGGTATGTACTGTTTTTAAACTATCCATTTCCGACTTGGGAGAATACTATGAAATCAGTTTGTTGCTCCGCAAAGTGAATGCAGTTTGCTTTCGTCTGATAACTGTTGTACATAAACTGAGAAGTGAGAACTGAGGAAGCGAATAAAATGAAAATATATTGAAGCGTAATGATGGGCATTAGAGATTACTCGCTGATAGTTATTGTGAATATAGCGGTCTGCCTTTTCCCCCTGCAAAATGGTTGTTGTTAGATAGCTTGCAACTCTTTTTTATTTCTCTTCATATTCAAATCTTGAGCAATTGGCTTTTCAGGCTCAAATTTTTCCTCTACTTTTTCTGGTGATTTTGTATGGCCTTCCTAAAATGGGTTGGAAAGCAGCTGAGAAACTAATTCGGCACTGGAAGATTCTCAGAGGGGACAATGTAGGAAACTTCTTTTTTTTTGGGAAGTATTTTAGCTTTATTTTTATTCTTTTCTCTAAATTTTCTTAGCTCCCCTCACCGTTATGAGCATTGTTGTTGTCATTTGTCTCAGGCAATGATGATCTGGACCAAGGATAGGGGCAAGATAGGGTTTATTAAGCGCATGATTCACTCTCAGAATCGTGTAATTGTTGAGGGCAAATATCTGGTAAGATTTATGCTCAACTTTACATTTTCGTGAGTTTTTGTGAAGAGAATATGTGAAATTGGTTCATTATTTTTTTTTAAATGTTGGTTTGGTGATTAATATGATGAATTTAATTGATTTTCTGATGTTAATGAACTTATTTTGTGAAAAAATGCCACCATTCTTTATTGGCCCATGAGGTCTATCCCAAAGCTTGGTAAACAACAGTTCAAGCATCATATCTTTATTGCCTATCAGTCTTGGAAGTTTTTGAGAACTGAAGTTCAAGTGAATCGACTGGTTGCTCAATTGCATGGGAAGGCGTGAATCTTTCTAATTACATTTTCACTAACCAAATTCATGAGTCTGTTGTTCAGTTTGCTAGCCTCTTTTCTGGTCTACTCAAATTCACAACCATTTCTTCTGGAGTTACAGAATGAATTCAACCCCCATGGTCCCTATTTCTCAAGTATGTCTGAAACAATCCTGGTCCAGGCTCGAGATCCTGCTAAACTGAATATGGAAATAGAAAATGCTATCAGTGAGAATAAATTAGAAGATACATGGAAGTTACTTGAGCAGCATATGCAAATAGATGGCTTTCCTAGAAAATCTATCGTCAACAAGCTTCTAACCAGTTATGTGGAAAGCCTGGATGTGCAATGGCTTGAAAAAGCTTATGGGTTGGTAGAAAAGGCTATTGAGGAAGGTAAACAGAACTTGTTAGAAAAGGAAGTACTTATGTATCTCTGCTTTGGTCTTGCCAAAGCTGGACTACCAATTCCTGCTTCAACTGTCTTAAGAAAGATGATAGATATGGAGCAATTTCCGCCAGTCACTGCATGGTCTGCAGTTTTGGCCCACATGTCACGAACAGTGGATGGAAGTTATCTTGCTGCTGAGTTGATTCTTGAAATAAGTTATTTGTTCAAGAACAATAGAGTGGATCCACGCAAAAAGAGCAATTCACCTTTGGTAGCTATGAAGCCTGATACTACTGCTTTTAATATTGCTCTGGCAGGGTGTCTGCTGTTTGAGACTACTAGGAAAGCAGAGCAGCTTCTTGACATGATGCCTCAAGTTGGTGTCAAGGCTGATGCAAACTTACTAATAATAATGGCACATGTATATGAGAAGAATGGACGAAGAGAAGAGCTTAAGAAGCTGCAAAGACATATAGAGGAAGCACCTAATCTTACTGATATTCAGTTCCGCCAATTCTTTAATTGTTTGCTCTCTTGCCATTTGAAATTTGGGGACCTAAATTCAACATCAAACATGGTTTTGGAAATGCTAAGGAAATCAAAGGAGGCAAAAAATTCTCTTGCAGCTGCTAAATTTATAACTCATGCACCTGAAATTGATTGTAAATATTCTCCCGGACTAGCTTCCATGCTTAGTTTGAGTGACACTAAGGACTCAGATTGTTTAGAATATGACAAGCCGATGAGAAACACCATCCTGTCTTATGAAGATTTCTCTGGAGATCGGAATTTCTTAAAACTTGAAGCTGAGTCAAAGGCTGTTCTTGGTTCTTTGTTTGCGAAGTTGCAGAGACATGTTGACTTGATTACAACAAAATATGGTATACTCCAGCCAACTGAATCAATTTATGTGAAACTGGTTAAAGGTTTTCTAGAAACTGGCAAAACCAAGGATTTGGCGGAGTTTCTAATCAAGGCAGAAAGAGAAGATTCCCCGCTTTCCAATGATAGCTCAATATTGATTCATGTCATTAATACATGTATTTCACTGGGATGGTTGGATCAAGCACATGACCTTCTTGATGAGATGCGGCTAACTGGAATTAAAGCTGGCCCATCTGTGTATGCCTCTCTCTTGAAAGCCTATTGTCAAGCAAATAGGGCTGCAGAAGTCACTTCACTTTTAAGAGATGCAAGGAAGGATGGTATCCAGCTGGACTCTAGTTCTTATGAGGCAATGATCCAATCCAGGGTGCTTCAGGAGGATACAAGAGGAGCTCTCCGTTTATTCAAAGAGATGAAAGTGGCTAAAATTCCAAAAGTTGGACAAGAAGACTCTATCACGCTGCCTAAAAATTATGTACAGAAAGATGAATCTGGGTTGATGATGAATCTGTTGCAGGAAATCAAAGAAGGACAGAAAGTGAATTATGAGCTTCATGATTGGAATAATGTAATCCATTTTTTCTGTAAGAAGAAACTGATGAAAGATGCTGAAAAGGCTCTGAAGAAGATGAGGAGCCTAGGCCACACACCAAATGCACAAACTTTCCATTCTATGGTCACTGGGTATGCTGCTATTGGAGGGAACTATCTGGAGGTAACAGAACTCTGGGGTGAGATGAAAGCTCTTAATTCTTCAGTCTCAATGAAGTTTGATCAGGAACTTCTCGATTCAGTGCTATATACATTTGTGAGGGGTGGATTCTTCAGTCGAGCCAATGAAGTTGTGGCAATGATGGAAAAATCTAACATGTTTATTGACAAGTACAAGTATCGGACGCTATTCTTGAAGTATCATAAAACACTTTATAAAGGCAAGGCTCCAAAGTTTCAGACAGTAGCCCAATTAAACAAGAGGGAAGCAGCCCTGGCTTTTAAAAATTGGGTCGGCTTGAGTTGAAGTCTTTGGCCAAGTATTAGCTCTTGGAATCTATCATCTTTGTGACTTTAGGCTGCTAAAATTCAGTAAGATGTATTCTCAGTTTTGCCCTTTTGTATTAGAGTTGAAGTTGGAAGTGCAATTGATAAGTATAATCTATCTGTACATTAAAAATCAATCAATATATTTTTGTAATGTTAAATAAATCTTCTAGACAGATAGATCGTTATTTTTTTTGGTTGGTTGATGAGTGTACGCATTTGTTCTTCCATTATCTGGTTGTTCATTGTTATGAGTGACAAACTGAGTAGCGTACTCGAGTAAAATTTGCATTGATAGCCCTTTGCTTTGCCTCCTTTTTGTAGGTATAACAGAAAGCAAGGACAAGGTCAGGAACAGGGGATCTTTTCAGTTGAAGCCTCGAGTCATGCCTCAAACATACTGCTTCTTGATCCAATGACAGTGTATCACATGCATTCATACACAAGACTCTAATCTGTCGGCCTGCAGGATGACAAAATAATATCCTCTACTTGTCTCGCTATTACAGGAAGCCTTGCTAGGTTGAAATCAATGTCTTTGAAGATGGTCCATGCTCCATAATCTGTGTGTCCCGAGATCTTGAAGATAAGAACCACCTCAACCGATTTAGTCCGTTCATATCTTGTGGAATGTAATCCCCTTTTCTGTTTAAGCGATCTTTTTAAGGCTGGCAATATCCCTTCCTTGTTCTCCGCTTCATCTGCATGATCTGGGCTGTAACACTTGTCATGGACGTGACATTGAAGAGAAGTCTATGCACTTGGATGCAATCGTGAATGCGTTTGCCGGCCCTGAATCTTACCCGCCGTCTCTTTATAAATCTGTTTCATGTGCGGCGGGAACACTAGATTTGTTAATGAGTTCAAGATCCATCCCCCTCTTATTTATTTATTTTTTTTAAAAAAGGCCTATCCACCTTGTGCATTTAACCAATTTGTATTTTATATCATTGTTGCTGCTGGTCCCAGATATAGTGCGATGAACATCTTGTTAGAATCGGGAGAAGAACTTAGGTGCTAAAATAGAGAAGGAATGCCTGACCTTTGAAGTGATTATGTGCCTTATTTCATTCACGTTGCTATCCCATCACAATAAGCAGGATATGACTCGAGTCTCCCTCCCTTTTCTCGGTCACTCTTTTAAGTAAATGGCTGTCTCACTTTCAAGCGTAATGGCATTTAGTAATCGTTTTTCTTCGGGAACATCCAATGAAATTTCATTGTGGCTGGCAAGTTATTAGTAAATCCAAATATTAAATGTAAATGATTCAGGACCAGCACATTGCGAAATGTTGTCACTCTGGTCAGTCAATAAGTGCTTCGAGGCAATTTGTCTCGCGTTTTTCTTTATATAAACGCCTAGCATGAAAAACGAAAGCATAAACATAATTTCTTTACGTGCCATTCCCAACAAATGCGTAGACTGTGCTGATTTAAACTAGTGGTCTTAGGTTCAAATATTGGGAGAGCTTTGCTTATCCTCCTAACTGACTGCCCTTGCCGGATAAGATAGTTGTTCATCCACAAAGTTCAAGATTTTTTTGCTAGAGGAAAATAGAGTCCCTTGCACTTGAACCAACGAAATATTGTTATTTTCAATATGCAAAAATAATAATAATTTAAGAACTGCTTGTGTATGTGGGGGGGCATTATAAAGTAAAAGATTATGAAGGAAAAAAAAAATGCATAAATGATGAGGCCTTATGCCCCAAATGCGAAAGGGTTGTTGGGAGGTGCACGAGAAATGACATTTTGCTGCTAAACCAACGGGTGGAAAGTATAATGACACCCACAAGACCGCACATGGGAGTTGCTTTTCGCCCGCTTTCATAGGCTGCGTTTGGCATGCTTAAATTGGAGAGGGTGGGATTGGAGTTGACAAAAGAAATAGCATTTTGACTTGTTTAGCATGATGGAAATCAATTCTATTTCAAAATCATTTCCACTAAAACTAATGGAATTGATTTCTATAATTAAACCTCAGTTTTGCAATTTCATATTTCATCTCCATCTACATCTCCACACCTTTAACCATGGTGCCCCTCCATTTTGGCAAGAAGATCAGAGTGGATGATGAAGAGAAGATCGGCGAGAAGACCTCGAACCTTTACTTAGCCAATTGATCTTCCACTGTCGCTCATCCAAATCCTCACTTCTCTCTCTCGATCTTAGCAATGTCTGCCTTCACTCTTCTTCATTGATGGTGACATTTGGAATTTCAACAGTGACAATCTCTTCTTCATTGACAGTGATAGCAAAGACGATCTCTTTCATTGATTGTTGCCGCCAATACTATCTCTTCTTCAGTCTCCTTTGATGGCAATTTCTCTCTTACCTATTATCGATCTCCTCCTCTACTGTCAAAATCACACTAGATTCACTTTATTTAAAAGCATGATCCATTTATTTTTGTATATTGTACGATTTGTTGATTCCTATTCGATTTTGGTTGATTTTTTCCTTGTATATTTTTGTTCTCCCTAAGTTGATTTCTATTTGATTCTAATGGGTGGAGGTATTTTTTTCAAGGTTTAATGGTAAAAAATTAATTGAAGATATTGATTATCATCAAAGTTCTCAATTGGTTTGGGTTCTGTTAGTGTAATTTTTTTATGAAGGATATTTTAATCTTTTTAATAAAAATTATATCAAAATTTCACAGACATATCAAACATATTTTCAAACTTCATTTTCATATTCATATTCACTTCCATCAAAATTATTCAGTGTCCCAAACGGGGCATAACTCTTTCTCACACAAACATTACGTCTCTTTAATTTCTTCAGTATTTGTGAGCCGACAACCATCATTTCTGCTTCCTCTGCTCTCTTCTTTGCCATCCAAATCTACACACCTATATTTTATATTTATCAAAATAATTAATATCTCAGTCAACACGTCATCGCCCGATATATATCATATATGTATATATAATCATTTTGAATAATATGACTAATTCCTGTATTCCGTATAGATATGACACAACAAAACACGTATAGATATGAAGAGAAATAAAGAATATTGTAAAAATGAAAATCAAATATGAACTTCGAAGATAATCACAATTCACTACTCTCTGACCCAAACTATACAATTTCTTGCCAGTCTATTTTTTTTAAATATATGAATATCTGTTTATGAAAACTATTATTTAGATATCGACCCAGATATTTTTTTCAAAATGCTCAGGCGACAAGCCCTACTGATGTTCCAGTTGTAGCATATTTGTTGAGTACTCCCTTTGATCTACATAACTAATTTATAGTTATTAAGGAAATTAGTGGAGTTAGCTATACACCAAAAATAAAAAGTGTACTGGTTTTCTAAAAATACCTTCTGTAACTCACGAATAAATCACTAAACTGTTGAATTAATGTCTTCATCAGTTTAATAAAATAATCTACTTATAACTGATTTAATATTATGATTTTGATCATCAACCTTTGAACCAGTACAAATAATGAGGGATAGAATAGAAGCATTGATAAGCGAACTGCACAAGGGGCAGACTCCATTCATCAGGACAGGGAGTCAATTCTGCAAAATGGCCATTCCTATATTTCTTTTGATATGTTTCCAAATGGTTTACGGGTCGTAGATGATCAAGTCGTTGAGAAACTGAGACAGTACTCTCTTTAAAATTGACAAGAAAATGTTCTGAGAAACATCTTCGGCATAAATTACAGTATAAACTCAGCAGTTGACATGTTCTGAACTCTACAAACGAAACAATATCTGAATATTGAGCAGATAAAAATCTAAGCAGCGAGTGCTACAATTTTAGTAGCTACTGGCTGGCCAAAAAGACAAACTTACGAGGAGGGAAGCATTTTCCACGCTGGCCTTCACCTAACAGGCCTATGATTGATCGTCCTGCATTTTTACCAGACATCATGACAGAACGCATGGGCATGGCAAGTAGGGCGCTGTAAAAAGGCATGTGAATTTCTCACCGTTTGGGCTTCCTCGCGTTCTGGCCCTCACCCCTCACTTCTGATAGCCTTGATTTGATACCATTGCCTGGCATTATTGGTGGTCTATCCAGGAAGCTATTTGTGGGATCTCGTGACGGCCAAGCCTGTGCAGATTGCCTGGTTGGACTAGCATAAATTCTGGAAGATGCAAGCCTGGATCCAGACAAAATTTGATCTCTCAGACCTTTTACTGATTTATGGCCTTGCATTTCATCATCGTATCCTTTTCCTTGATCTTGCTTCTCCAGTTCAGAGAAGCCTTCCCAATCTATTCCATCTCCAAAATTTTGAAGCTTCTCAGCTTGAGTTCCCCATTCCAGTCCATCTGATATGCTCCTTTGCAGAGACATGCTTTTCCTAGAAACTTTCCCAGAAGTAGACCTCCTCCCTTTCACTTCTTCGTCAATCGGATATCTTCTGGTATCAAGCCTGCTTTCAGAGGGGTAGCTCCACTTGTAGCTCTTGTGGTTGTCCATATTTAACTCAATAGAATGCATGTCACTTTCAGCTGAGTCTTCTCTGCATTCTAGTCCATCGTCTACCTCACCTCCATCATCCTCTTTATCTTCATTATGATGGGAATCAAAACGAGTTTTGCCCAGATAGAAAGCAATTTCTTCATCATTCAAGTGTGTGGAACTGCGTCCTTTTTCTCTAATTTGTTTGTTTCCCATGAAAGCCTCTAGTTGATTCCTGAGCTTATCAACAGTTGCATTCTTTTCCTCAAGCTGATATCTTGCTTCAGAAAGTTTTGGTTGAGCTCTCTCCTCATGTAACATATCAGCTAACTGCATTATTTCCTTTTCCTTTTCTACCTCTTCACAAACTTTTGCAGACTCTATTTTATTTAACTCAGATCTATCTTCACCAACATCTCTTGCCAACTCATCACATACTTGTTCAAAAATTTCTCTAGCTCTCTTCTCACTCTCAAGTTGTTTCACCACTTTAAGCAAGGATGCTTTTGTCTCAGCCAGTTCTCTTCCTAGCTTTTTGTTTAAGCTTTCAAACCGTCTTCTTAATTTTCTCTCTACATCAAGTTCACCAGCAACAGATTCAATTGCAGCTTCAATAATTTCTTTCTCCTTGCTTTTCCACGCTGCTTTTTCTTCAGCAAAACACTTCATCAAATAATTTAACTCATTTTTATCTGAGCGCTGTTCCTGGATAAGCTGATTGACCTGCAGGCGAGCCCTCTCCAGCTCAGTATGTAGAGCAGAGATTAGGGACATACTAGAAGAAGGACGATCTTCATGACCCCACAAGCGGTTTATTATTTTAAGGAGTTCTTTTGACGTTGTTAAAGCATTACTAACATCTTTCAAACGTGTCTTGGCTCCAATAGTAGATGAAGTAGGTGTCTGTGCACGAGATCTGGTTTCCACCTGTGGAAAGACCAAAATATGAGTCTTCTTCCCCCCCCCCCCTTTTAACCCGAAATTTAAATTGTGAAAAGCTAACTCAATTTGAGTTGGGCACTTTATCTACAATTGCATGTTACTCTATTCATACACGTCCGGTTGTTTTAAGCGAGTGTGGGGAATAGAGTAACGACTAAAAAAAAAAAAAATCGAATCTCCTATACCAAGCAACAGAACAAGAATTTGGTCACTGTGGGACGTATAGAGAACTTGAAATGTTCTAATTCACTTCAACAGATTCCATGCAGCAAAGAGCTGAATGAATGATTCACAATTTTTTTATACTTTTTAAACAAGCCCATGGAACCGTTAAGCAGATTAATAATATAATTAGGAAGGTTAAGGGTGATAAGGGCAATGATCCACAAGGGAACATATTTGCATGAACCCTTTCATTGCCATGACCTGAGGATTTGTTAATCAGTGACCCAGGAAAACAATTAAGTCGCTCACTTCAGTTTATTGAAGTAAGGTTGTGTCATATATGTGGCTATCTTAGACACAAACATGCGGAATCAATTATGTGAGTGGGTAGATGTGTCGGATGCAATTTATTATGTCAGTATTACAATTGAGGATATGGAACATACTTGCCAAACATTGAATACCCATTTTTCTTGGGGAAACCTAAAAACTTCCCCTAAAAATACGAATGGAGGCATTGAACAAGTAGTGATTTTCGACCCTAGAAATGCAGAATAACTTCTAGCTAGCATATCTAACAAGAATGCCTTGAAATCCCAGGTATCTCATGTCATAAATAAGATGATTGCCGATGTGAAGTATAGAATGCATGAAAAGGGATGGGTTAAGAGAATAGAAGAAAGAAAAGCTAGAAGCTTCCAGAACTATATAAATCTTTGCACTAACTACCTCCATAAGACTGGCATTGCTAAGAGAATCTAGCGGACCAACTTGGTGGTCCGTGAGCCTCAGCCTCTGAGGAATGGATGGGGTTCGTCTATGGCGACTACCTGTTCCAGATCTATCCATCCTCTACAAAAAGGTAACAAAACTTCGTAAGGAGAGAAAAATAAAATGTACGATTAACATCAACATGAATAGTGTAGCAGAAGTTCCATGCTTCAAAGACCGACGAAGGTAAATTTTGAAATTATAGGAACTTAACATTCCAAGTTGTATTATTTAATTTACAATACGTAAGAGGGTTCAGACACGGATAAAATATATAAAGGTCAACAAAACCCAATATATTAGCCATCTACAATATAGCCAATTAGCCACTAGACAACAGCCCACCATAGCCAATCAAGAGGAACATAACAAGCAAACAAAATAGAGATGAAAATCAATCCTCATTCAATATTTATGTGAATATAATCTTGTAACTGGTTCCTGATTCCTCCTCTTATATCGAAACAAGACTGAAAACGAACGGAACGCATTTTTTTGGCCAAACCGAAATGCAAGTTTGAAAAACAAAAATATTCACCTCTGATACGGGACTATGCGATGGATCGAATAAATGGGGAGGCAACGAACCAGAATGTATCGACCTTGCCGCCAACTTTTCCCTTGCTTTCAACTCTTTCTTCAGCCGTCTATCATCAGATCCTTGTCTAACGCTCGGAGAAGGAATCTCATTCATCTCCCACAGCGTCGCAGCGAGCTTCCTTGCTGACACAGGAGCTTGTTTGGCCTTGCTACCTGTCTGGGATGGTGGATACTTGGGGGACTCTAGGGCCCGCATAGCGGACGCGGGAGATCTTGAGTTCATCAGTTTCCATGTGGGCACTGGTGTACTTGATCCGCCCCTCTTGCGGACAAGAATGGCCCTTTTGAATCTGTAGTTTTGGTGTACGGAGGAGGTAGATGATGCCGATGTAGAGCAACCTCGTTTTCTGATCTTCCCAAGAACCAAATCCATGCTTCGAATTTGCCTAGGCATCAGCAAACCTCAATACTCAGATCACCAAGAATCTGAGAGAATAGGTAAACCTCAGCATGACATAGATCACAGCATTTGTTGCTCCAGCATGGAATACTGGGAAAACCAGAGAAAGCGAAAAAATAAATAAACGAGGATTTTGTATTACAATGCGGTTCAAGCCTTCAAATCAGATACGGACCGTCGCCGCAAGGAGGGACATGTGTAGTGATATTAACTGTCGGATGAAATGGTGATGGAATCGTAAGGCATTAATTGGTGAGAGATGGGATGGGAAATGGGCAGCGTACGATAGGGGAAATAAACAAAGAAAATAAAACATTTAGCAACAAACATCACTTTCAGTGTGCTTTTCTAGTTACAAAACTACCAGATCTACCATCAAATTGCTAGATCTGAAGAAAATCGCACTGTTGCAGCTTGTGAGACCTGGTGTGGAAAAGGAAAAATGGAGGAAGAAGACGAAATAAGAAGAGATGCGATAGCTTTTTTACCAGTTGGACACAATGATATCAATTATCTTTTCTCTTTCTACGTGCCATGTGTACTAATGTTAAAGATAAAGAAAGGGGAGTGGAAGAGGCGGGAATTGGAATGGTAAAAAGAGGAATTTTTTTTTATTGGTCAATGTAAAAAGTTTTGGGAAGAAGAATTTAAGTTGATATTATGGAATGTTATTTGATTTTTGTGAGAATCTCTTTACTATTTATGCAGTTATGCCCATGAGAAATGGTGAGATAAAATAAAATCTATTAAAATATTAATTTTGTAAGCGATTTAAAAGATAAATTGTTAATATTTGATAATTTTTTATCTTTAAATGAATTTTTTTATTTAAATATGTGCTTTTTATATTTTTATATGTATATTATATAAAAGCTATTAAATTAAATATGTCAGGTCTGTTTTAATTCAATGTCTAGTCCGTTTTTTAAAATCTTGTTTCCTCTATTTTTTTTATAAAGTTTTATTAACGACTTTAGGCATGTGGATAAAAATTTATTTAAAACTACTTTCAATAATTGACGAACAATATAAAATTACATTAAATCACTCACAAGTTTGCTGGTGACTAGCTACCTACGTTTTTTTTTTTGGGTCAAACTTACGTTTATTTTTTTGCACATATATAATAAAACAGTCACAATGTTAATGGCAAACGCCAATATCATTCGATCCAAAAATTAAACACCCATGCAAGCTCGAGCCTCGTCGCTTTGCCGCTTTGGCATATATTGTCCGGAAGAGTCGAGACATTAGCATCCAGTGTAGATAGACATAGACTTTGTGTTACGCGACAATTAATCCCTTCATGCATTTGCTCATGTATTATTGTTAAGACACGTTACCCGACACTTGTCCTCGTGCATGTCATCCATTCCATCATTCTCGTACCATCTCCCTCCCTATAAATCCCACCCTCACTATCATTTATCAATGCCTGTACTCTGGACCTTGTCGTTCTTCTTCAACAAAATGGCCATGGATACCAAGCTCCTTCTAATTCTCTTGCTGTCCTCCCTAATAGCCTTATTTTCTGCATGTCTAGCACAGTCCGCCCAAGGAACAGAGATAGACCCTGAACTTAAAACATGCAAACACCAGTGCAGACAACAGCAGCAGTATAGCGAGAGTGACGAACGTAAATGTCTGGAAAGATGTGACAGGTATCATCGGATGAAGGAGGAGCGAGAGAGAGAAATAGAAGAGGAAGTCCGGAGAAGGAAAGAGCATGAGATGGAAGAAACGGGAAGTGACGATCATCATAGATCACGTACGGAAAGCAAAGAAGAAGAAGAGTGCGAGGAGGAGGAGGAAGAGGGAAATCCTTTTGTTTTCGGGGACGAACAGTTTGAGAGGAGAGTCGAGACAGAGGATGGCACAGTTCGGGTTCTCCAGAAGTTCACCGAAAAATCCAAGCTTCTTCGGGGCATTGAGAATTTTCGTTTTGCTGTTTTAGAAGCTCAGCAACATTCTTTCGTATCTCCATGTCACTTCGATTCTGAGCTCGTTATCTTCACTGTCAAAGGTACGGAATATAAGTTGTAAAATTCCTGGCCAAACTCTATTAGCTTTCACTCACGTTGTTGGCTGTTCACTTTGTATAATTTACAGGGCGAGCTACCATCGGGTTGGTGGGGGAAGACAAAACAGAAAGATTCAACCTTGAACAAGGAGACATCATGAGGATACCATCAGGTACTCCTTTTTACATCGTCAACAGGGATGAGAACGAGAAGCTCCTTCTTGCCCAGCTCCATATTACTATCTCTATCCCTGGACATTTTGAGGTTACTTTCATTTCCCTTTTCTAGTTTCAATATGAGTAATTAGATTGTGAATCCCGAGTTTCATCCAAGGATTGTTCATGCGTGCGGCTTCAATACATATAAACACTATTGATGCGAATTCCAAAATATGCACGAATGAAGGTGGTTAAGCCAGAGTGAATCAACATAAATGCGTGCGCGCGCATTCATGAACATTGAGCAACTGTTGATGATGTAGTGTATTTTTTGACAAGACGATACAAATATGTCCGAGCTATCATATTGATCCTAAAGAAACCAAGTTTATATATGTAGGCATTTTATGGGCCTGGTGGGCGAGACCCAGAATCAGTTTTGAGAGCATTCAGCTGGGACGTACTTGAAGCTGCATTAAAGGTAGATCCTGATCAATATAGAGTACAAATCTTTCTTTTCTTTGTTTGTTTCCACCGAAATCATAATGGTTTCTTTTTGTTGCCTTATTTAAAAATGAATCAGGGGCAGAAGGAGAACCTGGAGAGGCTGTTCGGAAGACAAAAGAAGGGAAGCATTTTCAGAATATCCAGAGATCAAGTACGGTCTCTGAGCAAGAGATGGGAAGGTCCTAGAATTTGGCCCTTCGGAGGGCAAGGGAGGGGTCCATTCAATATCTTCCACAACAAACCATCTGTTTCCAACGACTACGGCCGTCTCTATGAAGTGGGCCCTGAAGACCAGAGCGACCTTGATAACCTCAATCTCATGATCAGCTTCGCTAACATTACCAACGTATCTATCCAGCACTAACCTTAAAGTGTATAGAAGTAACAGCTTTCTGGTCGGTCGTAACATGTTGTCGGTTCCATGTTAAAATTGGCAGGGATCTATGTCGGCTCCTTTGTACTACACAAAGGCAATCAAGATAGGTATGGTGACGGAAGGCATTGGAGAAGTTGAGGTTGTGACTCCACACATGTCAGAAGAACAGCAGAAGAGGAAGAAAAGCAGCCCAAGATACAGGAGGGTAAGCGGTCGGTTAAGGCCGGGGGTGGTGTTCGTTGTCCCCGCGGGGCATCCCTTCGTGACCATGGCATCCAGGGAAAGCAACCTGCAGATACTCTGCTTCGAGGTTAATGCACGAGGGAACAAGAGGCTGGCTTTTGCAGGTATTGTATTGTTTTTTTGATGATGGTTGGAGTTAATTAGGAAGAAGTGAAAAGTAACGGGTGGCGGTGGTTGAAAAATGGAACAGGGAAGAGGAACATAGTGAAGGCGATGGACGGGAAAGCGAAAGAGCTGGCGTTCATGTGGGCGGAGGAGAAGCTGAACGCCGCATTTAGCAGAGAAGAGGATACCTTTTTCCCTGGGCCTCAGAATCACGAGGAGGAGGAGGAGGAGGAGGAGGCTCGTCGTGCTGAGGCGTAAGAGGTGAAGAGTTGAGAGAAACAAGCATGGCCGGTTGAGAATGTTTTTGTTCAAGCAAGTGGTGTGTTTGTGTTTGTATAATTTAAAAGGGGCGGGGGTAGGGGGTAGGGGGGAGGGTCTATCCTAATGTACATAGGAAATGAAATAAGAATGACCCCACCTAGGCCCCTACCTCGATTTCTGTCAGTTTTTGTGAAGGCAAATCGGATGAATGTTCTTTGCTTTGATTATTTTGACGAGGTAAGTAACGATCTGCTTGACTTGAGGAGCAACCCTGCTTCTGCACGCCTTGGTTGGCAAACCGAAATGAGTGTTTTGACAAGTAAATGACCTTTACGATTTCCTAACAAGTTTTACTGTGTTTTGGACTTCGAATTCATTAGTTGTGAATATATATATATATATATTCCTTCCCTTTAAAATATATATATATATATATAAAGTAATTGTTAAAAAATTGGACCTTAAAAAATATTTTATATTTTTAATTTTTTTAATTATTACATTTTTTTTAAAGTGTAAATAGAGAGTTTTTAATAAAAATAGATATAAAAAAATAAAATTAATTTAAAAATAAATAATTATATTATTGAGGTGAAATTTAATCAAATATATTTTATATTTTTAATTAAAAATGCTTTATATTTTTTTAAATATTTTTAATTTTTTAATTATTACATTTTTTTAAAGTGTAAATAGAGGGTTTTTAATAGAAATAGATATAGAAAAATAAAATTAATTTAAAAATAAATAATTATATTATTGAGGTGAAATTTAATTAAATATATTTTATATTTTTAATTAAAAATGATTTATATTTTTTAAATATTTTTAATTTTTAATTATTACATTTTTTTAAAAGTGTAAACAGAGGGTTTTTAATAGAAATAGATATAGAAAAATAAAATTAATTTAAAAATAAATAATTATATTATTGAGGTGAAATTTAATTAAATATATTTTATATTTTTAATTAAAAATACTTTATATTTTTTAAACAGAGAAAATATATGATTTAACACATTGGCATAACCACAATGTGAATGTCCCACTCGTAAAATGTTGAGGTCGGAAATGGGGGGCCATCATGGTTCTGTTTATTAAATTTTTTTTTTTGTAAGAAATAAGAATGACAAAAATTTATTACGAAATAATAGAACGCATTTGCTGCCTTGCTGGGTTTAATTTTGGGGAGGGATTTGAAAAAAATAAATATGCAATTGATTATTTAAAAATTAAATATTTTTAAAATATATTTATTTAAATTAATTTAATTCTATTTTTTCCCTTTTTTATTTGTGTGGAATTGAAATATAACTTTATTTTTAAAAGATTTTTTTTTTGTAATTTATGCAGGATTCCATGATAATTTTAAGGTATTGTTAACTGATTTTATATAAAGATTATAATAGTTAATTATACTTATTTGGTCCTTCAATTTAATTTCAATTTTTATAGTCCTTTGTAATACATTTTAATGAGAGATCTTCCTATGGATCATGATAGTCTGTAAATTTTGATTTTATGTTTGCACTTTTCAGTCAAAAAAAAAAAAGCCCTCTCTCTCAATTTCCCTTTTTTCTGGGCCTTAATGCCTCAAACACGGACCATTATTTGAAATCAACAATAAGGACCTCCAGCCCATATGGCATAGTTATGTCATGGATAGGTATGTGCGTGGTGGCTCTCTAGCCTATAACCATTGATCAAGAAAAAAAAAATTAATCTGTTATTTGACATGAAAAAGGGCCTTCTACCAAAAAAAAATGAAAAAGGGCCAGTCTCACCCATAGCCTAAGTGGGGCAGGCCCAATTCAGTTTTACAAGAACTGCATCTTTTTTTTAATCCCAATTCTTTGTTTTTTAATTTTTTTTTACAAGCGCTTTTTTAATTATTTCTAATATACCTGTTTAGTTTTACATTGACTTTGATAGTTCTTTAACATGAAACTAAAGTACGTGCCAAGTGTCTAGTCTCTATCTATCATCTCTGTCAAGGAGAAATGTACTTTGACATCTAACATTTTAATTCTAAATTTTAACATGAGTGAGCATGATTTGTTTTGCTTTGGTAAAAAAAAAAAAAAGCATGATCTGTTTTGATTCTGCATAGATTATTATAAACCATTTGTCATTTTTACTGTACCTTAAAGTTTTAGCTAAAATAGATGAGGGTGAGGTGGATGTGAATAAATATATCAATCGAGTGTTTTGAAATGATGTTGGTATTTCTGAGTTAGGGTATCGTACCAAGTCCTTATATAAGATATTAATATTAGGAATTATGATTGATTTTAATAATAATTATTAATATTATTAATGATGGACATCTAAAAAATACTTCCTTTCCTCTTTTGCCCTCAATCGAGGTACCGTTGGAACATTCGTAGTCATAATCACTGTTAATCTATTATTTACTCCACATGAGAAAATAAAAGAAATCTGGTGTTTATCTTTTAGGGAGTTATTGGGACAAGATGGCACTAAAATAGAAGGCAAGAACCAAGAAGGACAGACACTAATTGTGAGACAAATGAAAATGGTGTGTGTTGGTCGGTGCATCAGGAAGTGCAGTCAAGGTTAGCGTTGGATTTACTTTAGTCGGAGACTAATTGGCTGTGATTACTCTAGTGGTTCATTGGCCTAGTGAATAAGAATACAAAGAGCATTATATTTAGAGCCAATAATTTGGATCAAGTCCAACAAGCCAGTCCGAACCCGTTCGAAAAATTTAAGGCCAAACTCAAAAAAAATATTAATTTTTAATTATTCGTGCTTATTCAAGTGGCCTAAATAAGTCCAAAAAAATTCGGGCCAAGCCCGATTGGGTTTGGGCTTGACCCAAATATCTGAATAAAAAATTAATTTAAAAAAAAAATATATAAAATATAATAAGTATTAATTAATTTTTCAAGTTTTATGTCATTTTATATCAAAATACTATACATATAAGTGTTTAATGTAGTTATTTTTTAAAAAAAAAATAAAAATAGTTATATTTCATATTTTTATTATTTTTAATCAATAAAATATCTCAAAATAATATTTAAAATATATTTTAATATTTATTTTAATATTTTAAGACCCAATTTTTTTTAAAAAAATTGAGTCCTATAAATCATTTTCATGTAAAAAAATAATTTTATATTTTTTATAAATTAAGATAATTAATTTTAAAGGAAAAATAATTTTAAAAATAAAATTTAGGCATGTACAAATTCCCAACTCTACTACTAGATAAACATAATAAATAGAATAATATTCTTGAATAATTACTTGATTATTGTCTATGCTAGATTTGGTTAAAAATTAAAAGTAAACTAGAGTAAGAATCCCTTATATGTAAGAGTTAAACAATATAAAAATTTAAAAAAAATAATTTTAAAAAAAATAATATTTTACTCATAATTAAATAATTTTTATATAATATAATGATGGCAATTTTTTTATATTCATAAAAATAAAAAGTATAATTTACCTAAAAGTTATTAAAAATTTTGAACTAATTAAGATAATAATTTTAAATTAGTAGTCTAACTATAATTGAATTGAGATTAACTTAATCATAATTAAAATAATTTAATTTAATTAAAATATATAAAATATTTATATATGACTATGATAAGAGTAATATTTAAACACTAAAACATTAATTTACAAGTAAAGAAAACATTCATGAATAAGTTATACATAATACAACAAAATAATAATAGAGCTACTTAAGTATAAAGTTGATAAGTTATTTTTTATTTTATTCTTTTAAAATTAAGATAATATTTTACACTTAATAGAATTATTTAAAAATTAAAATTGGTTATAAAATAAAGAAAAAATACTTTTAAAAAGTTTTGGGTATTCGAGTAGTTCGAATAAATCTAAAGCTAGAAGGTGTTAGAGTCGAGTTTGATTATATGAATTTTTTAAAAAGGGTAAAATACTTTAAGTTCGATTCGAATAAGCCCGGCTCGAATAAGCCTGGCTTGCCCAAATTACCGGCTCTAATTATATTACCAAGCATTTGAGCTAATCTAACTTAGTTAGATGCATGGGGCTTGAATTTTAGGTAAGTAACAATGATTAAATTTTTACGGTGAGGCATGCCTCCAAAGAAATATCTTCAAACTGCCAACTAAATTAGTCTGGATCAATGACCGAGAATACTGAAACCAAAGAAACAAAAATAAAAATGACATGGGTTTGAATTTCAGGATCAAAATAAAACCATCATGTAGGTGAATAATTTATAAGTCAAAATGATTTAAATATATTGATATTATACCTATTAGTAGAGACTAAATAATATACAATTAGATATAGATAGAATAAAAATATAATTAATGATTTGATTTTTTCATGGTATTATTATAAATGACTATATATGTATACTGGTTTGGATATTTTTAAATTAAAATTATATTTTTAACAATTTTTATAAATACATATCCATATTGAAATATATCATGTTATATATTTTTAAAAATTAAAGAATCAACGTATATCTAGTACGCATATCAAAATCTGTGTATCATAGGGTGGATGTGAATAAATATCAAGGTTCAAATTCTTTTGATGTAAAAGAAATAATAAAAAATTTTCTGTGCAAATACTGGAAGTAATTTAAATATATAAACATGTTTAGCCTTACTCATTCTTTTGATCTTTTCTATATTATTGGCTCTTAATTGCAATAATCCAACATTTTCCGTCTTTAAAGCCAACAACTGATTTTGGGAGTATAAATGAACAAAGCCCAGGTAAGTAGACAACCGACGAGGAGGGGGAAGTGAATATGTTGACTAAAGTACTAAACCACTGTGGCATAACTCAAACCCAAAGCCTCAAGACTATGATGTCAGCTGTTATCCACTGACACCTTCTTCTAGTTTAACAAGCAACAAAAAGCAGCACAGGTTTCACTGATTTGGCCGCTGACCATCTTAAATATCACATAAAACTTTGCATTAAATACGGTTATTATCCCACAATTCATTTTACCCTCC